CCCTCAGTTTGTTTCTCAGAGTCCATCGTCTCTCATGGTTCGTCTCCCCCTCTGATTTCCACCCCCCCTTCATTTTTCCCTTCCTACTCCTAATGTCCTCCATGCTATTCCTTATGTTCCACAAATAAGCGAAACCATATGATAATTGACTTTCTCTGCTTGACTTATTTCACTGTTGTCCTTATCTTAACAACTGAGAAAACTGAGGTGCAGAGAAATTAACTGGCTGAAGTTTCCATAGCACATAAGGGGCAGAACTGGTATTTGAATCCAGTGCAGTTTCAGATCCCATACACTTAACTACTAGATCACACCACCTCCCGGTTGACTTATCTGACTTTCTTCCTATTGAAAAGAACATAGACAAATGGTGCCACCACCTCTCTCTCATATATATCTGAGTAAAACTCGAATGCCAGTTGTCTTTAACTCTCTTCCAGGACAGCCTCGTCTGACAGCATAGGCTGGATTAGATGCCCTTCCTGTCCTATTCTCCCCTCTCATGTAGCACCTAATATGTTGGTCTGTCATAGATTTCCCCCACTGATGGTAATTCCTGAAGCAATAATTATTGAAAGACTGGCACACAACACAGAGCCTGGAAGATAGTAGAGGTTCAATAAATGTCTGTTGGATGAATGTTTGTAGGTCTTCCTGTTGGCATTTTAGGCTGCATCAAAGCAATCATATCCACAACTCACCACCACCACCATTACTCTGATTATCAACATATGCATTTCTCCAGATTGTGACAAATTTCATATTTCTCTTTGAAATCTTTAAGATTTTTCTTCGAAGTTTCTTTGAAAACTTTAAGAAAGCATAACAAAACCTATCCCAAGGGGGAAAAAAGGTCTTACCTTCTAAATCTTCTTTCTCAAAGTGTGTTTTGAGAATAGAACGAGTTCCACCTCTATCCACAACTGCCTCTTCATCATTTCTCTGTAGAATGGGAAGAAAGAAGATTAAATGATATTACAGTAGTTCCTCTTTATCCATGGGGATACTTTCCAAGGCCCCCTGTGGATGCCTGAAATCGCAGATAGTACCAAACACTATATAAACTATGTTTTTTGCTAAACATATATACTTATGATAAAGTATAATATTTAAATTAGGCACAGTAAGAGGTTAACAATAATAATAATGAAATAGAACACTTAAAACAATATGCTGTAATAAGTTATGTGAATGTGTTCTCTCTCTCTCTCAAAATATCTTATTGTACTATACTCACCCTTTTTATAATGATATGAGATGATAAAATGCCTATGTGATCAGATGAAGTGAGGGAATAATGTAGGCACTGTAACATAGCATTAGGCTACTATCGACCTTCTGATGGTATGTCAGAAGGGAGATCATCTGCTTCCTGGCCATGGTTGACCTCAGGTCAATGAAACCATAGAGAACAAAACCACAGGTAAAAGTGGACTACTGTACATATATTCTCTTAACTTCAGAGAATAAACAATAATATAATCTAGTATTTTAGGGGTTTAATTCAATCACTTAAACCTACTTGTGCACAACTATTCTATTTGATTATCAAGTGTTAGTTTAAAAAGAAAGAGACTAAAATTAAATTGACCACATACTGGGGAGAAGGAATGTCATTTGATTTTCCATGAAATCAAAGGTAGTCATACATTCCAGTTGCCATCATTTGTTAATGAAATGAAAAACAGAAAACAGTTATCCTGACAATTTAGTAACATGCATTTTTATCTCTGATAAAGAATTCTTGTTAACAAGATGACATTTTGAACTATACAAGGAAAATACGGAAATCATTAGTATTAACACTACTAATGCTGTGGCAAAGTGAAGTAATTCCACTGCCATTTAAAATGAGGTTGGGGGGATCTAATCTCTTGAAAGCAATTAGTAGCAATTATTAGGTAAACTACAATTTTAATTACTTTGCTTCAGTATAATACATTTTATTCAAACTAAACTTTTAATTATAATCATATACATTAAACCTTCATTCAGTATGTATATACATATGTATATCTTACTTATTTAGAATGGCTGGATGGAGACTCTCTTCTTAACATTGTACATATGCTCAAAACAATACACTCACTCATTTGGTACTCAATAAAATAATGGGGGAGGGATAAGTATAATCCATTTAACCACACAGGAATGAACAAGATACAAAATACTGAACAAAGTGAAATACAGATTATTTCCAAATTTTTTTGATTGCGAGCACCTATGTAAAAACTGCCTTAAAAGTGAACACTGAGGGGCGCCTGGGTGGCTCAGTCGTTAAGCATCTGCCTTTGGCTCAGGTCATGATCCCAGGGTCCTGGGATTGAGCCCTGCATCGGGCTCCCTGCTCCGTGGGAAGACTGCTTCTCCCTCTCCCACTCCCCCTGCTTGTGTTCCCTCTCTCGCTGTCTCTCTCTCTGTCAAATAA